CTGAGGGCACCCTCAACACCCACCTACAGTGTTTTGATCTCAACATAGTAACTAATCTAAGACACAGCTCCATTTATTCCTCAGTATTTTAATAATTTCCCTCTTGATATGTGTTCACGTTAATTTGAAAAGAAGAGTTRATTCAGGCCTTTCTTGAAGCAAAGCAAGTCACTGACAAGAACGCTGGTCTTGCCCTGCAGCAGCAAGTCTGCCTCCTGTTCTCCAGGTGCCCAGAGTATCAAACTGAGATGTGGAATGTGATAGATGGAGCATTTTATTTAAAAATATCACTACCATGGGACACTAGCATTTAAATTTATTTTTTGTAGTTGTAGATGGACAGAATGYCTTTATTTTATTTTTTAGTTTATTTTTTATGTAGTGCTAAGGATCAAATCCAGTGCCTCACACATGCTAAGCAARTACTCTACTACTGAGCTACAGCCCTAGCCCAGGACACTAGTATTTTATTTCCTCAGTTATATCAGATTCAAACAGGGGCCTTCAAACGAAGGAATTAACAGGTGCAACCCACTGCCACATGGTGTCAGCACACTTACCCCCAACTGAAAAAGCACATGGACTTAATGAGCAAGCAATAAATCTTRCAAATCAAGTGGCTTCCCATTATTGGCTTTCAACAAAATTAAAAGTTGTCCTAGTTGAACTGTCAGTCAATAGATCATCCAAACAATTTTAATGWCAGACCACTCCATTATCACTTGTTTCTGGCACATGTCCTGGGGAGAGTTTGCTGGTGAGCCAAGCAGAGGCCTCTCCTCCCCTGCTTCCACCTTCCTCTGTGTAAGCATTTGATTGATTTGTTTGTGTAAACAAAGCTATGCATTGGCAACACAGCAAAGAAGCTGCAGATTGGCTCATGTAACATGAACATCCTTGTTATACAAAGGATTTTAAATATTCACTTGGGATACAAATAATATTTCAACAGATTTTGCAACTATATTGCAATCATGATTTGATAAGAACTGCCATGACTCAATCTGGATTTTTTTTATATAGATACTTTGCTACTTAGCTATTATTCAGTGCACAATTCTAGAATGTCAATTGCAGTGCATTGGATCTCTAGAACTTTTGGTCTTGAGCACTAAAACTTCCCAACTGTAGAAGTAACTCTAAAGCACAGAGCCTTACAGCCCCATCAGAGAACTTTTAATATCAACATTAAAAACAAATATTGTTTTTGCAGAGAAAAGCATATATTATTGTTTCAGATAATTAAGCATACATTTTTAAGGCAAAAAATAATAGAACAGAATCTCTTGGGAGAGTAATAGAAAGAAGGAATCAAGGAGAAAAAACTTTTTCACGTACAATTTCTGTTCATTGCAAAGAGCCTATCCATCCTATTTTAAAACATCTGCTGGTGGTATCAAATCACTACAGATTTCAGACGTCACTCACTATATTTAAAAGATCACATGCTAAAAAGCTTTATTTTTAAGTGAAATATTTACAGCATGGTGGAAATTATATCCTTTGTACTATTTATATTTCAAAAAATTTAGATGCTAGCATTAAAGTATATTATCCCCTGTGGAGTTAGACTCTAGACACACCCTCTGCCACTGAGCTGCAACCACCTCTTGGTAGTTTTACAAAATTCCTTAGTGGGCTCACAATGTTGGAAGACCACGACCCAAACCACCATGAAGTCTGCTGGGAGCCTGGCCACTCCCTTGCGCTCAGAGTCTGGTTTGAATGTTGGTTTACACGGGGGCTTCGACAAGGTACCACTCCAACCTCTTCGGCCCCACAACATGCTGCTAAGGGTTGCCTATCCTGGGAGATGGTCTCCCTCTAAACCAGTAACTGGATTCAATCCAAAACCAGTACTTATTAAGAGAGGTTTTAGGTAAGCTTGCCTTGCTGTGCCTGGCTGGGTCAGCAGGCAGATCAGTAGACAAAGAATCAAAATGCTCACCCTCACCCCCAGTACCTGATTCAGGCTCCATCATTTAGGCCTAAAAGGATCCAGGGCTCCCAGGGCAGAACGGCTAACCCCAGGCAGAGGCAAGAAGTGAACAGGAGCCTGAGCTCCTCCTTCTAGGAAGCATGGGGTCCTCAGAGACACTTGGGCTACATGGAAAGACATGCAGTTCCTTCTTTTCTACAGCTTCCAGCCAAGGGAAGTGTTGCTCGTATTACTTTAATAATCACACTTATTATTATTCCTGAAATAGGATGATAAAAATGGGGGGTTCAGTTTTACAAATATGTGGAAATTAAACAACACACTCCTCCATAACATGTGGATTAAAGAAAGAATCACCAGGATAAATCTATAAAATAGAGATTAATTAAAATACACTATATCAAAACTTTGGACTGCAGCTAACACAGGGCTTATAGGCAAATTTATAGCTGTAAACACCTATATTAAAAAAGAAACACTTCATCAGTAAGTTCAACTTCTGTCCTTAGAAACGAGGAGGAAGGTAGGTGGGGTGGGGGGGAGAGACAACCTAACCCACAGCAAGCAGAAAGTGGGAAATAATAAAGACCAGAACAGGGGCTGGGGGTGTGGCTCAAGCAGTATCGCGCTCGCCCGGCATGCGTGTGGCCCGGGTTCGATCTTCAGCACCACATACAAACAAAGATGTTGTGTCCGCCGAAAACTAAAAAATATAAATGAATATTAAAAAAGTTCTCTCTCTCTCTCTCTCTAAAAAAATAAATAAAATAAATAAATAAAATAAAGATCAGAACAGAAATAAATAGAATAAAAGCTAGAAAAGCTAGAGAAAATAACAAGCCAAAAGTTGGGTCTTTGAAAAGATCAACAAAATTAGCAAATCTTTAGCACTACACACATCACATCAGTAACAAGTGATGAAAGTGGCACTATATCATGGTGGTCCTTCTCCCTAAAGTCCACAGTCCCATTCTAACACTGAAAAACCAACAGACAAATCCCAACTGAGAGAGATTCCACAAAATATCAGACCAGTCCTCCTCGATCAAAACTAACAGGTCATCGGAAGCAAGGTAAGCCTGAGGGAGCACAGGGAGACGTCACA